TATGAAATACGAAGAGTATGGTTTACGAGCAAGTTAAGTGGGGTGTCTCTTTTTCATCCGATTGGTTGATCTAATCTTGTAACTTCATCTATATTTATACTCTATGAGGCTTTTTGTCTATTGACAAATGATAAAATTAGATATGGATTATTCCAGATTTTTGAAACATTTATATCATACATCGATATATAAATTTCTGCTTCACTAAATCGGATACTCTTATGTCAAAAAAACCTTGGGCTGAAGATCACTTTTGACCTGATAAAATCACAGGATCTCGTGTAACAGAACAAACGCGAAAAACATAAGAAATTGTAAAAAAACGTAAATAACAAAAATTTACTATGATGACTAACTTCCGTCTTCTAAGTAAAAGTTTTCAGGATGAAATTTTACTTAGAGTACACTATTGTTAATATTAGATATATAGAGAAATTTTGATATATTACGACCTATATATTTTTGGCTGGCAGCTCGGGAATTTCTTAACATAAGGAAATTCCACTAAATCGGGCTTGTGGTTATACTGATTTATAAAATTTCGCCCAACTAAATTCGTTCATTTTAGCTGTCCTAAAAGGTATCTATTTTCAAAGTGTACACTTAAGAATAAAACCATTTGTTGTTTTACTAACCTGCTTACTGCTATCGAGCTTGATTCTCTGTTTTTTATACTGTCACCATCGTAATGGAGATCTTCCATCAATCATGCTGAGTTTAACTCCAATGGTCATAGACAGACATTTATCTGATTGGCTGATATAAACCAATTGTCCGGGTAATTTATTATACAGTTTAAAGTACTTGTTGAGAACGTAATGTTTCACTAACAAAAAAACATTGTAAAAGTCATTTCTAACTTCGAAAGAATGTCTATATTTATTATGCAAAAATAATCAAAAATAATTAGGAACCTCAAGAATAGTGATGCAAATTGCTGGTTTCAGCTCAGCTATGACTCAATTATAATGGAACTGAGCTGCTTTTTAGCTGAGTTGCTTTTTAACTGATTGTTCTTTAGCCAAGCTGACAAGAGTTGTAATTCCAATTTGATTATTGCAATCATTATATATAAAAATATTTATTTCAATTATTTTAGAAGAAATCTATGTTATATGCATATAAATATCTTTATAATTTATAATTTGCAAGCATGTATAGCATAGTATAATGGAATATAGTGCCACCAGTATATACACTCCTTATATTGCTGTTATTTTTTTTACGTTTAATCACGATTGGTTGCACAGGGTGATAGAGATATTCTCATAACATTTCATTTGCCGTATTCTGACGATCTTCCTCGTTCTCATAAATTTCGGCCATTTTACAACAAAAATCATAGGTGAATTTGTTGTCTTCTTTTTCTGGATCTTCCTTACAGAAATCCTTAAATTGGCCAAAAATAGAACTATACAAGCTAACAGGTATAACTCTAGAAGCTTTTGGTGGATGGTGATTAAAACAAAAAGGATGATCTTTTTGTTTTTGTTGTTCGTCCCAAACCTTGGGATTTCCAAGCGTTGACGGTGATGGTAAATCCTCCAACATATTAAGATATGATCTTTTAACACCTGTAGAAGGAGACTGCATTAGCTCAACTTATTTGCGATCAGCCAATAATTGATATATCGTACCTCTTTTTATGTCAGAGATTATGACCGGATTATCAATCGAACACTTGTGTATTTCAATGAAATCAATAAACATCTTTTTTGACCAGCTAATATCTATTTCTTGATTAGAAATAGTAAACATATGAAGGTCCAGAGTGCCCCTAAGATCATCAAATGCCTTTTCCAAAAGGATATATAACTGAATAAGATCGTTCCAGCCATTGGAACTAAAATTTATAACTTGTGAATCAAGATACCTGAAGTATAAAGGAACTAAGAATAGAATTATCACACTAGTCAACGTAATGATATTTCAAACATTTATGGTGAAATGAAGCGTGAAAATATATATTTGGTGGTATTTACCTTCCTCTCTAATCTTAGACGCCTGTAATATTGCTAACCTTTCCTTCAATTCTTGCACCTCCTGATTTGGCACTGTCATAGCTATTTAACAAGAATAAATGTATGAGGCACAAGTTAATAAACGAAATTATTGCGGAGAAAGCAGTATAGGTTTGGAATATTCGAATGCAGTCATGGTACTACTTACCCTCTCCTTCGTCCTTAATTTTTTTGACTAATTTTGCTATAACTTCTGCTGGTCCACCGGGAAGTTCATAAGGGAAGACTAGAAGCTTTTCTAGCGTTAACTCAAGGAAGGATATGCCATTAACTTCTTGTTTACAAAGAATATCGAAATGTTTATCCTTAAGTCCTAAGTCTTGTTTGTGCAAAAAATTTATTAGTTGTTCTGTTTTCTTCCATCCTTCTACTTCATTGACTGTAGGAACTTTTTCTCTGACAGTAGACATGGTTATTTACGTATTTGGTTTTTGAATAGGACGAAAGAATTTTTTTGGTAAGAAATAGTCGTACATTCTACCTTTTATAGTTTATACAAACAATAAGATTGTCGGACAATACTGATTTTATTTTTTTCCGAAGTTAAGTAGAAATTTTAATAAATTTTTATTCGAATTTGTTGATGCCTGTAGAAAAACAAAAAATTAAAAACTATTTATCCCTGAAGAGATGTGTCATCGATGACACAATAAAATTACAGATTATTAATTCTGATAAATGGTAATTTTTGTTTAATCATTTAAGGGTATAATAGATTTTTTTTGAAGCTAGAAAATTATCGCATTCACATCGCTTATATATTCCATCTGCTACTTTTTTGCATGCTTTGCAATATAGGTGTGAATGATGATTGCATTCATCACAAACCTTACAACTGTGCCTTCACCCTCTATAGATATGTCACTTTTTGATATAATTTCAACTTTTTTGATTTGTAAGTATATTATTCATTGTTATATTAATAGAAAAAAATAATATATACTTGGTTAAATTTTTATACAAACCTACTGTCTTATAAACAAATTATAAGCTTTATATAGTAGATAATTGCAATAGATGAACATATTTAAAAATCAAATAATAGTGATATATAAAAATTTTATTAATTTTATAGTTAAGTATATGGAGTAAAAAAATATTAATATTTTTGTTATTGATCCTGACTTCAGCAGTCAGAATATGTGCTCCTATGTGACTGGTGCAGTAGATTAATTTTTTAGTTTCAAAATGCTAAGTATAATATTAATAAAGAGTATATAAAGCTTTCATAATCTTTCTGCTTTTTTTTACAATGTAATATCTGTAATATTAGGGATTTGTTTTCTAATTTCATCATTAACTAATCTTCTTTTTTCTCAAAAGCTTGAAAAAAGATATATTTAAACTTATAAGACTGTTGTTCAGTACTAATAATTTTTTATATCTGGCTCTTGACTGGTTAAGTTAAGGAAAATAGAAGATAAGGTATTTTGGTATATTATTGTCATAAAACAAACTTATTCTGATACTAGTGTTGGTAATAAGATTGAGGTATGCAAATTCTTGAAGGCTTTGGAATTATTAGATAATGTAGTTATACCTGTTAACATGGATAATAATAACAATAGTGAATCTGACATTGATGAAAAAAATAGTAATGATAAAAATAGTAATAATAATCAAAACAATTATTGGAACTGGGATCCTAGAAAAAAATTTACCAGATGAAATTATAAAAGATGTTTTAATGAAGATGCTTTGAAAAAGTTTTATTGAGACCAGAAAGTTTGTCAATGTTTTATTCTTCTTAGACTATTTATTATATGCTTTTCTAATTTATTTGAGTAAGCAAAAAATAGATTATTTGTCACATTTTCTAGATCTAATTTATTTGGAGTATTAGAACACAACATATTATTAGATGTTTTAGTTCATTTTGTAAAAGATTTAAATCTTTTCAAATATGATAAACTCAGGTTTGATTTAATAAACAATATGAAATTGTAATTAAGCTTTTGGTGTTTTTAGATTATTAATATAGTTTAAACCATATTCAGTTAATATATATTGGCCATAACTATTTTTTCTTTATTCTTAAATATTGGACATATTTAACATATAGATTTTATTGACTAAGGTTTTGCAAACTTGAAAAAAAATCCAAGTTACTGATATATCTGAATTACTAATATATTTGAATTACTAATATATCTGGCTTTGAGTGATTTAATTATAAGAAGACAAGATTTTTATTTTATTTTAATACCATCAATTTATAAGAAAAAAAATATTAATATAAAAATATATTTTTCAATTATGATTCTGTCTTTTTACAATTTTTGCTTGAAGCCAAATATAGTTAGTTAACAGATTTTTAGTTTTTAAAACAGTTAACTATATATCTTTTTTTAAGTTTGCAAAAAAAAAAAAAATTAGAAAAATAATAGATAATTTAAGTCTTATGTTTATAAGAGTTTAGTGAAAATTTTCTAAATAAATGCTTACTATCTGAATTTTCTTTTGGTATTTATTTCTGAATTTTAGCTAAAATTGCATCAATTTCAGCTAATATTGAATCCATTTTTATTGTTTGAAATGATGAAGAAGTCTATATTTAAGATTTTGAACTATTACTTGTTTCTAGTTCAGGTTAGACTTTTCTGATTCTGTATCATCTATAGTATAATTATTACCTGCATCAAGATGGTCTGATTCTTGTTTTATTACAATTCTCAAAAGTAGTTTAAGATGTTGAGGTATTAATTTCTTACCATTATAAATTTTGAAAATATATTTAGTTCTATAATCTCTTAATTTTTTAAATATAGTTCTATAAGGTTTTTGTTTTAAGAACTCATTAAATAGCTAAACATTATGTGTTTTATTTCTAGTAAAGACTGGTTCAGATAACTTTTTAACCTTAATTGCATCTTGAATTCAAGTAATCAATTCTCTTATCCATTTTGGGTTCTTCTCTATAGAAAGAAATAGTCAGAGCTTAGGATTCTTTTTTTTTTCTCCTCTACTTTTTAAATAACCTATATAATACCAAGAATAATCTTTTTTATATCATACTGGAATATTCAAAGAATCTGGTTCATAGTGAATAATTTGAAGAGATCTTACTTTTATAATTCATATATTCAACATCATAATTATATCTGTAAGATTATCTTTAGATAAAATTTTAGAAACATTCATATTCTGAATCCTTTTAAGCATTTTGCTAATGAGAAATGTATTGAAATTCTATTCAAATTAGCTATTCATTTTTTAGTTTGTTTTTTTTAAATTTTATTAAACTCTTGAATAAGTTTTGGATCTTTGATATAGATATTAATAATTTTAGAAATTACCTTATCTTCTGCTAATTTTATATAAAATTGTAACTGACATGAATCATTAACAACTATTTCATTTTTATAATTATTTTTTGAACTTAAATCTAAATGATAGATAAAAATATCCATAATATTACTGATTTTAGCACAATATTTTGTCCTTTCCTCTATGCTAAGTTTTCCTTTTCTCTTATCTGATAAGAGAGTCTCTATCTGCTCTTCACTAAATGAGCATCTGTTATCAGTATCTCTAATAAGAATAACTTTAATGCATCTATAAGCCATCTAATTAGAAAGTAATATATCAGGTTTGAAAGCATGTTCGTTTAATTGTTCTGAGATAGAATTAGTCATTAGATTAAGCTTTTCTTGGAACTACTCTAAGACCAATACAAAGTTATTAACTTTAGGTTTTTAGATCTTTGAAGAAGCTGTTTTAGTAACCATATTAATAGTAAGTATTATCTAATTATATTAATCTAGTTATTTTTTAATTCAAAAAAAATAATTAATAATTTAGAATTTTATTTTACCTAATTGTAAAGAACCCTCTTATCCAAATACCTTACTTGTAAACTGGCTTCTTATTCACTTTTTACCAAAGCATACCATTCTTCTAAAATATACTTATATTTTTTTGATATTCCTTATTAGTATCAAGCTATAAGAATGTGATTCCTTTTTCTTTGAGTTCATGCTAGATAATCTTTTTTCTTATTAATCTTTTTTATACTGTTATTTCTAATATATAGTACATAAAAATTTATTATATAAATTCAATATAGTTAACCTAAATTTTGCACATAGTTTTAAGCTAATAAAGAAAAATTTAAATGCAGTATATAAAAATTTACTATATAAGTTCAGTATAACCAGCCTCAATTCTTATAAAAAATCAGTTCTGCCAGATCTGATTTATTATAACTCAAGTTTGGTATAAGCAGGTTCAGTATATTTAGAGTTGACTATATATAAGCTAAGTGTTACAGAAAAAGAAAAAATTAACAAATTGTTTAAACTTATTTTTTTACAAAAATTAATTTAAAATACAATTAGGATTAGTTGTATTAATAAATTTCGCTATCCTTAATACCAAAAAATAAAAAAAAATTTGCAATATAACTCTTCAAAATTTATAATTCTTATAGCTTATTGTTATAAAATTTATAACATAAAAATTGATCCTTTTTTTGTTGATTCTATAGGGAATCGATCTTATTGCAATTTCTAATGCGGTGTAACAATATCACTTCGGGCAAAAATTAAGTGTATAATTTGGGCCGGACAACGCAAATTTGGCCAACCTGAACTGTCGATAAGTAACAAAAACATGTTTGCCAAACTACCCCAGGATCACCAACAAAATTTTACAGTCCAATTGTTAATCATGATTTGGTGTAACCTAACACGATCAGGAAAGTTCAAAACAAACGTTCGTTTTGTCAAAAAGCAAAAATCTGCATAAGAAATCACCGTCTGCGCATTAACAAAAGTTTTCCTTGAGCGATTTTGCTATTAGGATTCCTAAAAACCTATTAAAACATAGACCCTACCCTAACTTAAAAATTTTTCGTCGATGTCACATGACTGCAAAATTTTGTTGGCGATCTTGGGTAAGATATGTTTGCCATTACTGATCACATTTTGTGTTGTACCAAATCGTGCGTTTTGATTGGCCAATCTGGCAAATCGGTATTTTGACTATAACGATAAATATTTTTCGGTTCCTGTTTGGGTCGTCTAAAGCGGAGCAGAATCACGCGACTACGATCCAACCAATTTATAGAATTTTGATAAAGTTAATTCAATAAAATATGTTCTAAAGGATCTACTCCGCTTTAGACGTCCCTCCTAACTTTAGGGTAAGTATATTAGCACGTGACATGTTTTTAGTTTATAGTAGCAGATAGCGGACCGTCTACAGACACGTACTGATTCACGTGATTTGTACGTACCTATTATAAATCTAGAACCTGTCATGTGCTAAAAATACTTACCCTAAAGTTAGGGTACGTGCAAGTCATATGAATTGGTACGTGTCCGTAGATCGTCCCAGCAGATAGGTATGTACTTAAGTGAATTGGTACGTGCCCGTAGACCGTCCGTCACCAATTATAATAATATGACACGTGTGTTTAGGGATGGATCGGTCCCAAATCGGTCCCTCGGTTTTTGAGATCATTTTTTCTTCGTGAGTCACTAATAAAGTTATTTTAAACAAAATTTTAATAGTACTTATTTATTGAAAAATCCTGGCAAAGCTTCTCAAAATACAAAATTTTCCAAAATGTGAGGGCTAGAACCGGTCTTGGAACCAATTTAGTACCGATACAATCCTACTTGTTAGAGTAGGTCTGCCATTATTTCTCAATAGTAAGTACTATTAAATTTTGGTTTAATAACTTTAATTAGTAGCTCACAAGAAAAAAATGATTTCAAAATCTTACAATCTGCTTTTAATAATTTTAATTTCTAACCTATAATATGTATATAATAAGAATATTAGTTAATCTATTTAAATACTTTGTGTTTACGGCAAATAAGAAAGTATTATAAATAATAATTTTATTTAAATTACTTATCACCTAATTATTTGGTAAATTTATGCGAAATTCAAGCTAGAACTATTGAATTTCAATTGAGTCTAATTATACTAACTGGACCAAAGAAATAAGCTTTGTTTGAAATTTTATAAAGCTATACAAAGGTAATTTCTTGGCTTTTATAACTTTAGAAATTCTAAAATAGTTCCAATCATATGGCCTTTTTAAAAAAATTTTTTATATAAACAATTTTCTTCAAAATATTAATTTCCATTCTTCATTATTTAAGGCCTTGGTTTTCTTTCATGTTTTTTTTTCACATTTCAAACATATCAATATCCAAAATCTTTTGAAATAAAGTTCTAAATTTTTTTTATTAAAGACATCCTCGAATAATGAATGGCATTATGAATAAAGAAAACAATAACGATCGTAATTCCTTGTGCTCGCAAAATATGAAATTCTAATATTGTAAAATTTTGGTATTATACATGTTATACTCATAAAAATAATTAATACTTTTCCTTATAGGTAAGAACGTTAAGAATTATGTTTGTTTTCGTTTATTTAAGACCCACCTTTCTCCATTCTTTAGATATTTCACCAACTATAATGTCACGAAAATTCCAATGATAAATCCCCTACCTAATTATAAGTTCGTTCGTTCTTCGATAGATAAAGGTCCAGTGTAGTATGATAGTTCATTAATACCAGTATCTACAATAGGTAATGTTAAATAAAAATATAAGTATTTAGATTTAAATTTACATTCATATATATGTTTTTTTCTAGTCCTTGGAATAGTGATGGTTATAATAATGATAGGATTTTGTTGTTTTATCTACTTTAAATATCATTACACACTTCGTGAATCATCACCTTCACACAAGAAGACATACCTAAGCTTTAAAACAATCTCTAAAATGGTAGTTCTAATTTTTCGTCATGCTCTGTTAAACCAAATCGATTAGTTATACACGTCAAATTCTGAAATACAATCTCAACGTGTTGATTCACTATCTCTAACGAAAGTGGAAGCAATGGACTTTCAGTAGCTAGACGTTCCGCACCTTCAAATGTCAAATATGACTTTATATTATGAAGAGATTGAAGTTCTATCACTGGGTGTATGGATTATTCCATTGGAACTACAAGGTGCAGATCGGAAAGAAATTATAGCCCAATGAGAAAACGCACGAATTTCTTTCTTACCATATTTTTGACTTAAAACATATAAATTATCTGACCTGCCATCAAATGCTATAAATAATAGACCTTGTAGTTTATAGATTGTATTCGATAAGCAAAGGTGCAAATATATCAATATAGAATTAATTATTTACAGTATATAATATAAAGTAGAAACTGAATATATCAATTAGCATTTTACGGTAATTTATTGGTTTATTTGCACTAAAAACACGTGATAATAACAACGTTAGGATTAAGACAAGACAATGTTGTCAATTTTTGCTTTCAGTAAGATTTTAGAGCCTTCGAACGAAACGTTTAAAAAATCAGTGGTAACATGGTGCGAGATACTTAGTGGTACCACATTGTAGGTGTAAAAATTGTAAAATTTAGTATGGTCGTCATTTAGGCTACGGTGCGTCATCAATTATAGAATGTTCCTTGGACATCGTAAACGGTCAATTATCTGGTATTTCAGAATTAATTGACCATTTACGATGTTCAAAGGAATTTCGAATTCTGCAGGTCCCTAGAATTTAAAAAACTATTTAAATTATGAAATTGCTTGAGATACCTTCGTTTAATATTTGAAACAAATTGAGGTAATTATGAAATTGAGTAACCTAGCCATGATCAAGAATGCTCAAAAGTAAAAACATCTATTCATAGTGATATTGGAATAAAATGGAATAATTAACATCATCGCGTTCACCTCCATGACCCCAATTGGTCATCCAAATTTAGATTTACTGGTTTAAAACGTTTTGCACTGTATTATAAAAGTCATAGTTTCTAATATGACTCAGATACATATTGATGCTGTCAAAAATTAATCTCAAAATTTCATTGATTATTTCAGTGAGGACACAATAATGAAAATTTTCCAAGTAGCTTTATTACATATATTTCTTTTATTATGAATAAATATTTCTTCAATTTTGTGATCGAAATCATTGATGCATATTCCTAAAAGAATACAGTTTTATAAAATGAGGCGGATTTTTTTGGTTTTGGTGATTATTAAAAATAAATGTAATCATTCATAAAGCTTGATCCACCAATTTATGTGACGTTGAGAAATTGCCAGTATTAGACATTAAAAATATAATATAAAATTGAATTGTATGAATTGTATGAATGGCTGATTGTCTTCTGAGCTTATGAAACCGTCATGAAACCGTTTATGAAAATATGATTAAATTAAATCTTTTATATGTATTTGTGCTTGCTTATTAATATTTCGAGATCAGGTGTAATGTAATATAACTAGGCTAATGCGTATGCATATTTTTGTTACACTAAATTACAAATTTAAACACGTGTGTGGACGGACAAAAAATTTTCAAACATAATTTTTTATGTATGTACATTAAAAAAGTAATTTTATGGGATCAAAATGCATCAAAAACTTAATTTTTGTAAACACATAGGGTTCTCCCGACCAATCAAGGAATTTCAAAACAACCGTTCGTTTTGTAAAAATCGCCTATTTCTCAAAAGTTTGCATAAAAAGCTACCTTTAGAAAAGTTTTTCTTGAACGATTCTACTAT